GGGTTCTGCAGATTTTAGATGTCTTTGTTTTTAGAGTCATACAATTTAAAAACAAGGATTTAGACTCATAGAATAAATAAGTAGATAAATACATAAGTAAATAATGCAGTTTCAATCTATCTCTTTGAGTTAAGGATACTTAACTATATATATATTCAGCCAATTAACTATTTTGAGTTAAGGGAACTAGTTTCTCCTCTGCAATTAACTGAATTTCAAATTACCAGGTAATACCGATTTATTGTGTTTTGTATCATTCAGTATATCATAATGTGTTTTTAAAGTCATTTTCAGAGGCTCAGCTGTCAGATAAATGTGGTGGCACTAAGTGCAAGTACAATATTTCCCTCTGAAATATAACAGAGTTGAAGCAGAAAGCAGAATAAAATTAAAACATTAAAACAGAAGAAAAAACAAAATGTAAAAAAAAAACTAACCACAAAAAAGTGTCTGCATTAGAGAGTCAGGAAGGAACTCATCAATATAACTGCCAGATAACAGGCCATAAATATCACATATTGACCCAGCTGATTATGACAAGGTGGGAAATTGGAAAAACTAACCAGCCAACAACCAAACGGTAGCTGGAGACCAGATGATTTGTAGCCATCTGCAGAGAGCAAATGTTATCAGTTCTAATAAGATACCAATAAAAAGGTCTGATTGACCTTTTGCCGCTTTTTCAGGAAGATCATCAAAATTATCCTGCTTGTCTTCTGATTAAGGGCTCAGCATTCAGCGAGGAAAATGACGGACAGTCGGGTCGTGACGGCAGATCGAGCGACCTGTGTGAGGAACTTTGATGCAGCGTGTTACAGTCCGTACGTGTCATCTGTGCGATGTGTTTATCTCAACGGCACAGGAGTGTTCTACTGCCACTGATCAAGGAAGTGTGCGAGCGAGTCAGAGAGGGAGTGAGTTGTTCATGTCGCACCCGCTGAGCCAGTGAAATCAATTTTAGAGCATGACGGACAGGTAATGGCGGTACAGTGGCGGGGACCAGCGGGACTAGATAGGAGGGGATCAGGAGGTCAGGCAATTCCGTGTCCCTGTAGTGTTTCTGGAGTAATTTGGAAATTCTTCACAATGTCGCCAGCTCACAGCTTTCCTCCGGATCCACACACACGTAGCACACCGCTAAACCCTTCACATGTTGACAATAGAAAGAAACAAACAAGCTAATGGAAAACACAGGGAGGCGTAAGATGTTTGACAGCGTGGATCCGGGGAGACAGAAAACACTGCTCCGGGCCCACCTGTTTAAACATCTGCAAGAGTCTCTGGTACAGTACTGTATCCTGTTCAACAAGCCCATTTTTAATACTCCCTCCAAGCAATAATGTGATATGAGTCTCATCTATATGCAAATTATGCGAAGACTGAGGTGAACTGCAGGCTATACGGTTCCTCAAAGGCGGCAGCGACAGGAAGAGGCCCCCCGTACCTCTTTCATTAACCAAACGGCAGCGTTATTACTCTTTCTAAACACAATGAGGTAATACTCGTCTGCAGATAAAAGTGCATCAGCGGGACAGTATTTACAAGGTCTAGTGGCTCCCAGCCAGAGCAAACAAGGCTGTCTTTCAAATCTAGGCCACGACCATTGCTGACAGCATAATCAGTCATTTTAAATGGAGATAAGCTGAAGGATAACTTAATCCCCCCCTATCCTCAATATATAGTAAATACACCAAGAGGCACATACATACACATGCACACACACACACACACACACACACACACACACACACTGTATTTCAACAGGCACTTGTATTCGCAGTCGACAGAAGTCATGGCACTGAGGAGAAAATCACGCTTTTCGGGACCTGTTGTCATGGTTGCACAGCAACCATCCAGCGAGAACGAGGCAGCGGGAGCAGAACGAAAGGAAATAACACAGAGCTCGTTGAACAGGTGTTCGGATGTGCTACAAGAAGAGTTGGGAGTCAGCAGCGTAAACTCATTCCTGACCTGAGCTGTGACCACGGCATCCAGGCAAACATCTCAACAAGCACAGCGCCCAAAAATCACAGGAAAATCCTACGTCTCTACAAAACACAAAGCTTTTAATTTTAATCTTCTCGGGGTGCGTGATCCCCGTCATACAACATAGAGTCATTACGCACAACCAGCTAGTCACAGAAGCAGCTAACGCGCCGCAGGTTTGCACTCTGACAGGTAATTACGACAAATAAGTGTTTCTTATCGTTGGTTCTCGTCCGCCTTGTTCGAGCAAAAATTAAAGCGATGGATATTGATGTGGGACAAGAAACATGCTGGTGGTTTAGTTGCAAATCTGATTCTCGCCCCATCAGAGACAGCAGCAACTAAATTGAGTTTACAGTCAATTTGCTGTGAGGAGTGAGTCATGGCTAAATGAAAATGCTTTTAGCACACTGAGGATTAAGCAGGAGTCGGGGCATATCTGAGGGAGAGTGAGAGATTGTCAATCAGCAGTAATATGCGAATACTCGAGAGCAGACTTTGCATATCTTAACACATCCCACGCTGATTTTCCTACTCTGGCCTCAGCAACCTACCGCTATTCTTCTTCCTCCGGTGGCTGTGCGTTGGATAAAACCAGGACTGGGCCCTTGTTTTGCTGTTACTTTGCAGACCCACTGTTGCAAGCAGTTTCTACAAGAAGGATAAAAATAAAAAGCTAATCTAAGTGTCTCGGTTTAATGCCTTGACCCTCCAACAGATGCTCAGGAGCTGTGAAACAAGTAGCCCGACATATATACATATATATACACTGAACGAAAACATCAACACAGTATGTAATGTATTATTAGGAAATAAGCATTTGTTGCTCCAACACACAGCATATCTATTTCTCTTTATCTCCATTTGAATAAAGCTGAATTTTAAGGTGGCCTTTTATAGTCACTGGTGGTCAAAGGAGAGTCTGTGTGCTGGTCACTCATTCTGATCATCATCTTTAAAGCCACACCTGACTCTATGTGGATTAACTCAGTGGTCAAGAATTTGTCATCTAAAAAACATTTGTGCACAATTGGCTAAATTTAACCCCTTTCTAACATTTCCCTTAATGGAAAAACACTGCACTGAAGAATGACAAAGCAAGTTTCATTAGAGCTGAGTGGAAAAGTTCCAGGGCCAATGGGAGGAAATGTGTTTTCATGACATCTAAGTAAGAGATTAGTGACCGTACAGAAGGAAGAAGAAGTTGTTCCTATCAAGAAGATGATAGGGAACACAGCCTTATTGCATCCAATGTGTTTAGTCTTCTGATGTCTGGACCCCCGGCTGTTGATTATCAAGCATGAGATTGTTATACTACCGTTGGAGTAAAGGTCACGCCTGTACATGTATAAGAATACCACACTGCCTGCACTCATGTGTACTCTCCTGCAGACTGCTTACACTCTGTATGACCTTCAAAGCTTTGAATAAAACAAGACAAAGACAACTCAGACTTCTGGACTTTCAAAATTTCCACAACAGAAGACCATTTGTGTGCCGAGTTTAATTTTTGTTTGGAGTTTTCATTTCAAGGGCTGCAAGGTGGAGCGGTGGTTAGCACCACTGCCTCGCAGCTATAAGGTCACCGGTTTGCGTCACCCAGGATCTTTCTGCGTGGAGTCTCCATGTTCTCCCCGAGCAGCGTGGGTTCTCTCCAGGTTCTCCGGCTTTCTCCCACAGTCCAGAAACAGGCTGAGGTTAATTGGTGATTGTAAATTGTCCATAGGTGTGAATGTGAGTGTGCTTGGTTGTCTGTCTCTAAGTGGAGCCCTGTGATAGACTGGTTACCTGTCCAGGTGAACCTGCCTTCACCCTGAGTCAGCTGGGATAGACTCCAGCCCCCCACGACCCTATAGTGAGGATTAAGCGGTGTATAGATAATGGATGGACGATATTAATTTCAAGTGAAAATTGAAAGTGGAAACAAGTGTCAAGCAATTTTGTGAGGCTGTCATAAGTTATGCTAATCGGTGCTTTGGTGCAAAGCTCAGCGTGCTAACAATACTGTTCAGCAGGTACAGTTACAAAAGTTCACAAAACTCCACTCATCCACCATCTATAGGATATTACCCTGAAGTAACCTACCGAAGGGATCAATAAAGTTCTATCTATCTATCTATCTATCTATCGAGACAGACAACCAAGCACACTCACATTCACACCT